TTTGTTCATGAGTCCATTGGGCAATGACGAGAGAAGCTGGGAGAAAATGATGACTGGTTTCCACAGAACGTGTCATTCTATTCACTTGACTGTTAACGGTGATCTATTGAGATCACCTTGGGTGAGAATTCACAAGACACAAATATCTTCACTTTTTTGTCCCATTCAGTGAGATTTATCCACAGACATCTTCCCCATCCCTCTCTATCACCACTTTCCAATCATGTACACACACACACATAGACATACACATATGAAAGTGCAGAAGAAAAAGATTTACTATGTTATGAGTTACATGAAACATACTGTGATTAAATCAAGAGAAGCAGCAAATTTCCTTTGAGTTAAAATGTTTGCCTGATACTGCTGTCTTTGTTGGGCAGTGTCAAGTCAGTCCAACTCATAGCAACCTTATATACAACCAAACAAAACCCTGCCTGGTCCCATGCCATCCTCACAATCCCTGCTGTGCTTGAGCCCACTGTTGTAGGCATTGTGTCAACCTGTCTGGTTGAGTCTTCTTTTTTGCTGCCCCTCTACTTTACCAAGGAGCTCTGGTAGCATAGTGCCTAAGGCACTTGACTGCTAACCAGAAGGCTGCCGGTTCAAACCCAGCAGCCGCTCCTCAGAAGGAAGGCTGGACAATCTACTTCCACAGTGATACTGCCTTGGAAACCCAAGGAGGTGTCACCATGAGTCGGGTCCGACTTGACAGCACATAACAACAACAACAACTTTACCAACCATGATGTCCTTCTCCAGAGTCTGGTCCCTCCTGAGAACATGACCAAACTACAAGACACAAAGTCTCACCATCTTTGCTTCTAAGGAGCATTCTGGTTGTACTTCTTTCAAGTCAGAAGTGTTTGTTCTTCTGGCAGTCCATGGTATAGTCAATATTCTTTGCCAAGACCATAATTCCAAAGTATCAATTCTTCTTCAACTTTCCCTATTCATTATCCCTCTCTCGCATGCATATGAGGTAATTAAAACACCATGGCTTGGATTAGGTGCTCCTTGTCTTCAAAGTGATATCTTTGCTCTTTAACACTCTAAAGAGGTCTTCTGCAACTGATTTGCCCAATGCAATATGACGTCTGATTTCTTGACTGCTTCCATGGGCAACAATTGTAGATCCAAGTAAAATTAAATGCTTGACAACTTCAAACTTTTCTCCATTTATCATGATGCCTGGTACTAAACAAGTGCATAATATTATGTCTAATTTTATTTCAATTGCCACTTTGGTCTTAATTTCATTCCCTTTGAATCTTGTATTGTCAAAGCCAACCATTTTAACCAAGGAATTTGCATTGTTTACCATGGAGTTTCCGCCACTTCTCTGTCAATGTTGTATGTGGTGACTAGCTTGTTGCTGGAGGCTATGACATTGGTATTTCAAGTACCAGCAGTGTCACCCATGGTGGACAGGTTTCTACGGAGCTTCCAGACTAAGACAGACTGGCAAAGAGGGCCTGGCAGTGAACTTCTAATAAGACTGACCAGTGAAAACCGCATCAACAGCAGGAGAGCGTTGTCTGACACGGTGCTGGAAGATGAGCTCCTCAGGTTGGAAGGCACTCAAAATACAAATGGGGAAGAGCTGCCTCCTCAGTTCAGATGACCTTAATGTCAGCGATGGAAGAAAGCTGATGTAGCACACCTCAAAATGACAAGAACCAGCTACAAACGTCCATTAATAATTGGAATGTGGAATGCATGCAGTATGAATCCAGGAAAATTGGAAATCATCAAAAATGAAATGGAATATATAAAAATCAGTATCTTAGACATTAGTGAGCCCAATGTTGGCAGCCATCCCCATTGTCCAGAGCCAGGAGGCAGGGCAGGTTCCAAGCCCTTCTACACCCTGACCCCTATGTGTCCCCCACCCAGGGCTGGCCCTAGCCTTCCACGATGGCAGTGTCCACATCATGCACCGCCTCTCCCTGCAGACCATGGCCGTCTTCTATAGCTCCGCGGCCCCACGGCCCGTGGATGAGCCAGCCATCAAGCGTCCGCGGACCATGGGCCCCGCCGTGCACTTCAAGGCCATGCAGCTCTCCTGGACCTCCCTGGCCCTTGTGGGCATCGACAACTATGGGAAGGTAAGCACTGTGCTGGGCACTTCCAGAGCCAGCCACTGGCAGGGACCGGTGGTGACGAGCACGCACAGTTGTCAGCGGCCTCGACAGCGAGGGCGGGACCTCTGGGGATTACCCCCCCCCCTTGCATTCGTTAGCAAGGTGCTCACCCTCTCAGCCCAAGTTTCCTCGTCTGTAAAATGGGATTAATAGTACCGTGAGGTAAGGTCAGCAAAAGTGGTAGTGTGGACTGTGGCACATGGTAGGTGCTCTGTAGGGAGTGGCCATCAGGGTGCTTGCTGGTGTGGTCCGTGGTGCACAGTGGGTGCTCTGTAAGGTGGTTGCTAGTGTGGTCTGTGGGTTATAGTAGGTGCTTCATAAGTCGTGGCTATCAGGGTGGTTGCTGGTGTTGTCTGCTGCACTTAGTGTAGTTGTTGTTAGGTGCTGTCGAGTTGTCTCTGACTCACAGTGACCCCGTGTACAACAGAACGAAACACTGCCCGGTCCTGCAACAGCCCCACCATCCCTACTATACCTGAATCCACCACTGCAGCCACTGGGTCAATCCATCCCACTGAGAGCCTTCCCCTTTTTCGCTGACCCTCCACTTTACCAAGCATGACATCCTTCTCCAGGGAATGGTCCCTTCTGACAACATGACCAAAGTAGGTGAGATAAAGTCTGGCCATTCTCACTTCCAAGGAGCATTCTGGCTGCACTTCTTCCAGGACAGATTTGCTCATTCTTCTGGTGAGCCATGGTACTTTCAGTATTCTTCCCCAACACCACAGTTCAAAGGCATCAACTCTTCTTCAGTCTTTCTTATTCATTGTCCAGCTCTTACATGCATATGAGGTGATTGAAAATACTATGGTTTGGGTCAGGTGCACCTTAGTCTTCAAAGAGACACCTTTGCTCTTCAGCCCTTGAAAGAGGCCTTTTGCAGTGGATTTGCCCAGTGCTGTAAGTTGTGTGATGTCTTGACTGCTGCTTCCATGGGTGTTGATTGTGGAAACAAGTAATATGAAATCTTTGACAACTTCAATCTTTTCTCCACTTATGGTCATGTTGTCAGAAGGGACCATTCCCTGGAGGATGTCATGCTTGGTAAAGTGGAGGGTCAGTGAAAAAGGGGAAGGCCCTCAACGAGATGGATTGACACGGTGGCTGCAGTGATGGGCTCAGGCACAGCAGGGATTGTCAGGCTGGAGCAGGGCTGCGCAGTGTTTCGTTCTGTTGTTCGTGGGGTCGCTATGAGTCAGAGCTGATTCGACAGCACATCACAAGTATCTTCACAAACCTGTGTGGTATTGCTGGTGCCCCCTGCATGGAGCACCCACAGTGCACCCACACCTCCCCAGGCCCTCCGGTGTGGTCTCTGCAACACTCTCTTGCTCTGTGTTTACGTGGCTCAACGTTTATTGGGGTGGAAGCTATGCCACCAGCATTTCAAACACCAGATACCAGCAGGGTCACCCCTGGTGGACAGGTTTCAGCGGAGCTTCCAGACTAAGACAGACTGGGAAGAAGGAAGAGGCCATCCACTTCTCAAAGAACTGGCCAGTGAAAACCTTATGAATGGTAGTGAAACACTGTCTGATGTATTACTGGAAAACTGTATGAATAGAACTGAGAGACTGTACACAGTGGCTGAACCATGGGCTCAGGTATAGCAAGTGTTGTGAACCTGGCACAAGACTGGGCAGTGTTTTGTTGTTGTACAAAGGGTCGCTGTGAGTCAGAGATGACCTGACAGCACCTCACAACAACAACTGGGTGCTCGGGACCAGGTACCTGCCGTGAGCAGAGGGGTGGGGCTTGGGTGTCTCCCTCATTTCTGCCTGTCTGCCCCCTCCCACCCGCCCCAAATTCCCCTCCTGTTTCCGGCAGCTCAGCTCAGACTCCAGCGTCCTACCCTCAGCCCCCAGCCAGCACTCCGACTGATTGTGGCTGATCTCTGCGGCCCCGAGGCAGACGGGCCTGGCAGGCACAGTGCCTGGCCTGCTATGTGTGTGGGGTGGTGGTAATTGCTTGTTCCCATTGAAGGCTCCAGGGCAGGGCGGGCAGGGCAGGGTCTTGCTGGGTGAGCTCTGGGCACTGGGTCCCTGACCTCATGCCCCCCGAAGCAGCACCACTGGACGCAGGAGCCCAGTCGGGCACCAGACTTAACATCTTAGACACAAAGGGGGCCATGAGTCTTCATGGGCCAGGCTGCGCCCCTGCTGCATGGTAGGGGTGGGCCCCAATAGCTAGTAGGAGAATGGGCAAGGTGCGTCCGGCCCGGGCTCTACTCATGGTCACCTCCCTGTCACTGCCCAGAAGGGTGACATGAAGCCCACCAACCTTCCTCACTCCATTATATCGGACCCGGGAGCACTGGGGACGGTGCGCCCTGGGTTTGAACCCCAGCTCTGCCACAGAGCTGTGTGAGCTCAGGAGCGACACCCAGCCCCTCAGAGCCTGTTTCCTCTTCTGGGAATGGGGCCGTCGGACTGGATGTCAGAGGGTCTCTGTGTCCCTGTGTATCAGCACAGAGCAGCGTTTGCACACAGGAGACCATCAGGGGCCACTTGGGAAACAGGAAGAGCCGGCTGTCAACCCGACGCAGAGGGAATGACCCCGACGGCCGTTCCTCCTCCGCCTTCCCGGGAAGGATAAGGGCGCCACCGTGCGGCCGAGGCGCGGAACGACACCTGGCGCCTTCGGCCGGCGCGGGAGGCGGTGCGTCCTCTGCCCCTCGGCGCGGAGCTCGGGTTCTCGATGTTTTCCCCGCGCACACGCCGTGCTGTTATCTCTGGGCACCCGCCGCCCCCTCCGCGGTTCCGCTGCAGTGAGTGCTGATCGGTGCAGGACTGAATGACTTTATTGCTGGGTCCCCCTACCCCTCGTGACCGCTGGCCCGGCGCCGGGTCCTCTTCAGGCCACCTCGCCCTCGGCCATGACGCTGTCGATCCAGGCCGCGTAGCTCGCCACGCGCGTGTAGATCCCGGGCTTCTTGCGGTTCCCGCAGACCCTGGAGCCGGAGGTGACCACGCCCTCGGCCACGCCCCCGCAGACCAGCGGACCCCCGGAGTCGCCCTGCGTGGGGCGGGCGGTGAGTGTGGGGGCACCAGGCCTGCCACCTACCTGGGCCCTCTCTCTGCTCCAGACCCTCCTCCCGACCTCTTCCTTCTGGAAACCTCCATCAGCGGGTCCGGCCCTCTGCAACTCAGCTCTTTCCTCTGGCCCCAGCTGGTTCCTTACCTGTCAATCTCTCAGGCCCCGCCCCCCAAAGCGGGCTCCACCCGCCATCTTAGGCCCCGCCCCCTTGTCTCTAAGTTCACCTTTCCCACGCTCGACCTTTTCCCTCTCAGACCCCAACGGGGGTTTCTGCCCCAGGGCCTGTCCCCTTGCAGCCACTCTGCGAGCCCTGCCTCATCCCAGACGCCATCCCTCCTGGCTCCGCCCACTTTTGTTCACCCGCCCCTCAATTTAGGCCCGCCCACATCACCGCCCTTTCCTTTAGGCCACGCCCCTCCACGCTCCGCCCTCCACCCGCCCGGGCCGCACCCGGCAGCTGTCGCGGCGGTTGCTCTCTGCGCACATCATGCGCTCGGTCACGGTGCCGTCGTGGTGAGTGCGCAGGTTGCAGGTGGCGCGGTCGAGCACCGGCAAGAGCACGTGCTGCAGGCGGTCGGGCCGGCGGCCTGTGTGGCGGACCACGCCCCAGCCGGCCACGTCGCAGAGCGTGCCGGGCGCCACGTCGCGGTCCTCGCGCTGCCAGGCCAGGGGGCGCACGGCGGGGCCCAGCACGGCCTTCTCAGACAGCTGGGGGGACAGAGGCCAGAGTCAGGGCGAGGAGGGGGTGGCGTGCAGCAAGAAGGACTGAGGCTAGAGTCGCGGGGCTGGCAGCGCAACCGGAGAGCGTAGGTCCGATCGCAGCAAGAGAAACTGAGGCCAGACGCGGTGGGACTGGAGGTAGAACGGGCAGGAGTGGGGCCGGGAAGGGAGGTGGGCTCTTGGCGCAGCAGGAGGGGCTGCGGCTAGACCCGGTGGGACCGGAAACGCGGTGGGGCACAGGCGGCGGGGGTCCCCCGCGCAGCAGGAGGGACTGCGGCTAGACCCGGCGGACCTGCAGCAGGAGGAGGTCGTGGTCGATGGTGTCGGGCCGGCTGTCCGGGTGGGGCACCGCGCGGCGCACGTCGTACAGGCGCTTGGAGGGCTCCGGCTGCGACAGGGAGTGCGCGCCCAGGAGCACCTGCACCTTCCCGCCGGCCCTGGGGGCGAGCGGGGTCCACGGTCAGAGCGACGACCCTCCCGCCCCAGCCCTGCGCCCGAGCCTCGCGCCCGCCGCCCGGCCACTCACGCATCCTCCAGGCAGTGTGCTGCGCTCAGCACCCACTCTTCGGCCACCAGGAAGCCGCCGCACACGTGCGTGCCGTTCACCTGCACCGACGCCATGTAGGGCCTCGCGTGGGACTCGGCCTCGCGGCCTCCTAGGATCCGACCCCGGGGCTGCGCTTCTGCGGGTGGGCCACAGGGCGGTGAGGCGCGCGGGGAGGACCGCGTACCCGGTCCCGCCGGAAGCCCAGCCCTGGAACCACCCCGCCCCCAACCCTCCGGCTGCTCCGTCATCGGAGCCTCCCTCCCAGGGTCCCAAACTCAGGTTCCTGGGGGCCAGGCAGGAATGCATGAGACACAGACAAAGGGGCAAACGCCCCAGCGCCCACTGCTTCAAGTTGCACCTAAGGAAATGGGGGCTGGCCGGAACCAGCGCTCCTGCCAGCCTGGTTAGGCCGCCCGCCACCCGTTTCCAATGGTACAATTTCAGGTTCTTGAATCCACCCTGAAGAGCTGAAATCTGGAAGGCTAGGGCTTCAGAGGGAGCTCTGGTAGCATAGTGGCTAAGACACTTGCCTGCTAACCAGACGGCTGGAGGTTCAAACCCACCAGCCACTCCTCGGAAGGAAGGTTGGGCAATCCTACTTCCGTAGTGATACTGCCTGGGAAACCCAAGGAGGG